AATCCCATATTTTTTACCATTAATGTGGGAAATAAATCTGTCCAGTGAGTCTTTAGTTCCTGCCCATATCACCAAGATGTCATCGATATACCTTTGGTAAAGATGTAAGTGAGGCCATATCCTTCCATAGAAGTCTTCCTCCTCCCATTTATTAAGGAACACATTGGCCACACTGGGGGCATACTAAGCCCCCATGGACACTCCTTTTCTTTGATTAAAATATTGGCCGTTATACCAGAAAAAATTGTTGGTCATTGCTAGATCAAGACCTTCCTGAATGAAGGTTTTTTTGTGTTTGTGGAAGTTCAGTATACTTGTCTAGCGCCCATTTAACTGCTTCTATACCATATTGTTGTTTTATATTTGTATATAATGACTCAACGTCTATTGTGACTAACATACTGCGGTTATCATCTTTGAGATCAGTAATTTTATTCATAACATCTTTGCTATCCTTTAGATATGAGGGACTTTTACTCACCAAAGTTTGAAGGTAAAAGTCTAGGTATTCACCTAGCCTTGAAAAAAGGGAATCTATCCCGCTAAGGATAGGTCTCCTTGGTGGTGTAGTCAGGCTCTTATGAATTTTGGGCACTTGATATATCACCGGTATTCTAGGGGCATCTGGTACTATGTACCTACTTTCTCTTTTGTTAAGGATACCCATCTTACTTCCTTTGTGAACCAATTTTGTTAACTTTTTCTTTAACTTAATACTAGGATTACCTTTCATTTTTCTATATGTTGATTCATCATCCAATAATTCATTCATTTCAGCCTCATAGTCCCTTTTGTTAAGCACAACTACTCCTCCTCCTTTACCCACAAGTCGAAGAACTATATTGTTCCTATTTTCTAGATTTTTAATACCTTGCCATATGACTTTGTCTGTATCTTTTTAATAACAGACATCTTATGTCCTCCTCTATCATTCTTCTAAAAACCTCTATGTAATGATAATTAGATGATTTTGGGTTAAATGTGGAATTATTGCGAAGTCCACTATGTAAGAATGGAGTGGTGGGTAAACAAGTCTGGGAATCCCCTTTTTCCAAAAAGAACTTCTTGATCCCTAATTTTCTAATAAACGTCTGCAAGTCTATATAAACTTCAAATTTGTTTAACTGTTTGGTAGGTGCATATTTGAGGTCTTGGTCCAATGTAATTAACCCTTCCTTACTCAATGTGACATCACTAAGATTAAATATCCCTTGTCCTAATTCTCTCCCTTTCTTTTTGATCCCCCCTCTGGTTCCCCTCTTGCATTGCTTCCTTCTCCTTTGTGGTTCATCACCCCTGTTGGTCCAGGGTGTAGTTTGTATGGTTCTTGCCATTCCCTCCATTCCCCAACAATGAGGGGGGGTGGGGTGACTGGCATTATTATAAGGTCTGCCCCACCCCTTACCTCTATTACTACCTTAACCCAAATGATTTCTACATCTATTAAACTGGCTTTGGATGCCATTACTCTCTATGCATCTGTGATTAAGCTGGATTGGTCTGACTTAGCTGCACTGGCTAATTAGCCTCCAAGCTTCATGATTATTAAGCTGTGAGCTTTTCATTTCAACTGAACATCAATGACATTGATACCATTTAACTGACTTTGAATGCCATCACCTTTCATGTACCTGTGACCAGGTTAGGCTGATTTATTTGGCTGCACTGGCTAATCAGTCTTTAATCTTCAACATCACTGAACTGTGAGCCTCCCATAAACTGCCAACATTGAAGTACTGCTACTGTGATCAATAGGGATATATTCCCATAGTCGCACAGATTGGAACTTGTATGGCCCTACATTCATACTGGGCCCTGTCAGAGTCCCCTGTCAATTACAGACAACTTTATGTGTTGTTTATGCTATGAGGGCCTTGGTTTGTTTGGAGAGTCCATTTACCAGAGTTCTGTTACTTGCCCTTGTGGCTGAATACGGGTGTTTCCAATGTATGAGACTACGGATACAATTGACTCATTAGTATTGCTCTTTTAAGATGGAGGGTAGTTGTATAGCGTGTAATTCATACTGTGTGTGGCTCCTGTCATTTTAAGGTGATAACGTTATCATACTTCATTTTAATGTGCATAGAGGATCTATTTGGCTTAATAGGTCTATTACCTTTTTATGAATTTAATAAAGCTGTTGGTTTTATTCATACCGCTGTTGGTTCTCTTTTTAAACCTTTTTTTTGAGGGGGTCTCTTGGATCCTCCAACATTCTATTCACTGTACTTTGGTTTTTGAGGTCCCCACCATGCTTAATTAGGTGAGTCGGTGATGACAATAGCAACCATTTTTTGGCTCCCTAGTTAGGGAGAGGTAATAATTTATAATACTTTTAATTTTATTAATTGATTATTCTGTTGTCTGGGTATCACCTGGACCTCTGGTTTTCCTAGACTTTTTTAGGTCCAAGGGACCATTTTTAATGTTTTTATTTATTAAAGTTTTATTTTTCCTTCCTGGGTGCATTGATTTCCTTTTCTCTGTTCTAAGTAGCTATTATCCATGATAAAATGGCCGCTAGGGCCTGCCCTTGCAACGATTGAAGTCCAGACTCCCTTTATAAGGAGTTCTCTGTCACCATTTCCTTTAACCTGTGGAAGTTTACGTGACCTGTGATGCAACGCATAGGACGGAGGCATGGTGATGTCATTTCCAGCTTGTAATGGCAGCCGCCATCTTGCTACACCCATGCAAGTACACCCTGTATATTCTATTCTGATTTTAAAGCTTGTGGGTCTGCAGAACCTGTGATTTTTCTGAAGTGGATATTTTGGCGTGTGTTGGCTTAATAAATAGCTTGATTTACTACACTATGGGAGTCCTTTTCTCTTATTTTTTTATGGGGATAGCTTGAGAGGCTATCTGGTCCATCATCAGTAGGAGGGGGATAACACCACTGTTGTTACCATTCCTGGGTTACCGCTAAAGGTCAAAAAAGGGATCTAGATCACTTCGCTGAGCACTGTTTTGATGTCAGTTGGTCCATAGGGCGTGCTGGATACGGTTGATAAGAGGATCACCGTACCTGTCACCAACAATTGTTTGCACGGAGTCGTACTGTTGGATCATAAGCAGAGTTATTTTGGACTGTTTTCTGTTTAGTTCACATTTTTATGGCACATTTGTCTTTTTTGTCTTTATTATGATGTACGTCATTTTATAATTTTTTCACTTATGCATTTGATATACTCACTTGGTATCTATTATATTGCGGATCACGTCCTCGATGTGGTATTATATCCTTGATCACGTGTTGTTGCCACTTTTTCATGTCTATGTTTATTTATCATCTGTTTGCTCACTTAGAGCATTTTGTTCACCATTGTTGGTCTTGCTCACCATTTTTCTTATACAGGAGGTACTTAGCACCCCTGTCCACTTCATTGCTCCCCATCTTGTAATAGGGGAGTTCTTTATTTTTTGCACATTGAATATCATTGTTTATGTATTTTATGATCACGCATTTGTTGTCACTTTTCCTTCACGTTTGTTCTATTTGCTTTACTGTTTTTTCACCATTATCTTTGTTTTTTCATCAGTTGTATATAGTGTTTATACACTTATAGAGGATTAGCGCAGTACCACTCTCATTCTGTTTTTCTCCACTATTTGGTATTATAGTCAGGTGTTAGCAGCTATTCCTGGTTTTTGTTTTATTTCTTTGGGTTGGGGTATAGTGGCAGCACAGGAGGTCTATTTTTGTTTCCATTAGTCCTGACATTTATCAATGCTTGATTTGTTATTCTTGCTAGGAGGAATAGTTTTTTGCACTGTTCTACAAACAGAGCTGTTTTTACTGCACAGTGTTCTAGTGACAGGAATGTGCTGCACAGTATCTTAGTTGTCAATGAGAATAAACACTGATCTCGCTAGAACAATGTATAGACCTTAATTTATTACTAAACTCATTCATACACATATAGAATGAAATAAATCTAATAGATTTGGATGGAGAAATCACCCTTGCTGGCTACTGAATTCCTACAGCCAGCACCTGCGACTGGCTGCTGTATTCTGGCAGCCAGCACCTGCGGCTAGCTGCTGTTTTCTGACAGCCAGAACCTGTGGCTATCTGTTGTATTCTGACAGCCAGCACCTGCGGCTAGCTGCTGTATTCTGACAGCCAGCACCTGCAGCTAGCTGCTGTATTCTGACCTGCGGCCAGCACCTGCGGCTAGCTGCTGTATTCTGACAGCCAGCTAGCTGCTGTATTCTGACAGCCAGTACCTGCGGCTATCTGTTGTATTCTGACAGCCAGTACCTGCGGCTAGCTGCTGTATTCTGACAGCCAGTACCTGCGGCTATCTGTTGTATTCTGACAGCCAGCACGTGCGGCTGGCTGCTGTATTCTGACATCCAGAACCTGCGGCTAGCTTCTAGATTCTGACAGCCAGCACCTGCAGCTAGCTGCTGTATTCTGACAGCCAGCACCTGCGGCTAGCTGCTGTATTCTGACAGCCAGTACCTGCAGCTAGCTGCTGTATTCTGACAGCCAGTACCTGTGGCTAGCTGCTGTATTCTGACAGCCAGCACCTGCAGCTAACTGCTGTATTCTGACAGCCAGCACCTGTGGCTAGCTGCTGTATTCTGACAGCCAGCACCCGTAGATGGCTATTGTACTATGACAGCCAGCACCTGCAGCTGTTAAAAAAAACCTGACCAGAGCCAATGTTTAATTGAATAGAGTCACTTTCAGCCAACAATTTGCCAGTTGACTTGTTCAACAAAAAACGATTCAAAATTTGACTATTGTTGAGTGAAATGGTGCCAACAGAGCCACTCATGCCTTGAATTTTAGCTGATTCGATAGGAATTGGGTAAAATTCAAACAGTGCATATGCAATGCAAAATCATGCATAGGGGTTGATTTACTAAAACGGGAGAGTGCAAAATCTGGTGCAGTTGTGCATGGTGGGCAATCAGCTTCTAACTTCAGCTTGTTCAATTAAGCTTTAACCTCCCTGGTGGTTTTCCCGAGTGTAGCTCGGGGTAAAATTTCTATAGCACAAGCGGTAACCCCAAGCTACACTCGGGCTTACCATGCGGCGCTGCTCTGGGGGTCCCTGCAGCACTTACCTTGTCCTTCGTTCCCACGATGTGTCCCCTGCTGCGTCCCTGGCCATCTCCTCCGGCTGATGCCAGCATCCGGCTTCTGTGTTCCTGTCCCCGTGACGTCGGGACGTACGGGCGGCGGCGGGAAATTTAAAAAATGTAAAAAATGTCATTTTTTTTTTTTCAATTTTAATAGTAAAACATTGCTGTTTCATCCCATTTTACATACATATTGTCCCTAGTGCTTTGTCCTGTGCCCTGCCTGCATTTTGTCTGTTCTTTCTGCCTGGAAACTTAGAAAAGTCCATGGCGTCCAAAAAGCGTCCCTTTACGTCAAAAGCGGTTTTAGACCGGCTAGAGAACAGCGATAGTAAATCACTTACAGAATTGAGTGATAATGATTTGTGGGGAAATTTTCCTAAAAATTACAGCCTACAATAAAAAACTATTTCCATGCGAAAAAATGGTACCGCTTTCAGCACAAAAAATCGGAAGGAATCATACCGCCAAGGAGGTTAACAAAAAAACCTGGAAGATGATTGGTTTCTTTGCAGAGTTGCACCAGACGTTTCACTCTCCCATTTTAGTAAATTAATTCCATAGGTTTTTTTTTTTATTTCTTCTGCACATAATTGTGAACTTAAAGTGAACAATTATTTGAAAACTTGAATACTTTATTCACAAAGCTAAATTAACAACCACTACTCCTTTAATAAATCAGCTCCTTTGCATAGTCATCTAAGTATATATACATCACGTAAAAAAATGTCATATATGTTGAAATGATTTTGTGTAAGGAATTGTGCAAGGTCATACAAGTTACGCAGTCTATTTTATGCAACGTTTGGCCAAATGTATGCAATTTTGTACGGTGTTGCGCTATTTGCTGTTGCTCTGTTTGCACAGACATACAGTACATTTACAGGACTGATAAGCATTGGTCAGTAGCTGTTAAAAAGGTAATGTATGTTGAATTGCACTGTCTGTCACCCACCAGTATTTACATAACCCTCTACTAAACAGGGCAAGCATGAGTCCTTCTGGCACAGAAATAACTTTAGTACATGTGATCAGCACTACAGCTCCAGCGCCTGATCTGCGCACTTTGCTCTCAGCCAATCAGGATGTGGGTTTAGTATCACACCCTTTTTTCTACCCGTTTTTGGCAAGCTGCCCAGACTTGTAAGTACAGAAGCAAAGGATATATTGCTGTCTGGCTGCAGAAAGTACAATTACATCTGTTGCAGAGAGCTAATAGAGCCAAATTTCTATCAACTTATCACTCATTAAGAACATTATAGTTTCAGCTTGGAGAAGCTGCATAAAAAAAAAAAAATAAGAGTAAATCTCATGTCATGTATTGTCTAGCATTTACCAAAGAGCGTAAAACTGCACTGATGTGAACAGGGACTTAAAAGATTGCCAAACATGGGAAGCAATTCAAAGTTTATGATTGTTTTTGTCAGTATATATGTATATGGTATATGTTGTATTTAATTACTGCAACCTTTTCTGGGTGTTTGTTAGAACAGAAATGATTCTTGTAAAAATCCAGCAAAAGCCAGGAACCAGCAGGGCAACATTCCACAAAAAAATATTACTAGGATTATGTCTTCTTTAGCCCAGTTAAGCAGCATGTGACTGTTTTGACTGTTTTATGACAATTTACGATTTTTTTATGGAAACATTTGTACCATCAGAATAAGAAACTGTGCTATCATAAAGAATTTACATTCACAGCAACCTCCTGCGCTTAGTTTATTAGGTGCAGGACAAATGATCTGAGAAGTATAAAAAACTTTATGCTTCCCAGATCAAGTTCTTCTGCTTTTAGATGTATTTGCCTTTACACGTGTTAACACATGTTTATGTTCTTTTTCATGCAATTAGACACATTCAGGGTATCTAATCTGCCTCTGGATGTACAGAATTTTATTTTCTTTAAGGGCCAGTTCACACTATGCCTGGATATTAATCGCACAGCAACGCGCTGTGCATTCCTGTGCGATTCAAATGCTTGTTTATACTGTGTGATGATTTAATGCCCATTCATTTGAATGGGATGAAATTGCACCGCACTACGCTAAAAGTAGTGCATGCACTACTTTTTTTTAATGCACAGCAACTCCATCACATGGTACTCTGTACCATGCGGTTTGGTGCAGGCGGGTGGGGGCAAACGTAATGCGTTTGTGACTTGAATTTGAGGTGTCTTTAATTTTACCTGACCCCCACAGCAGATCACAAGGGCATTGTGATCGGAATGCGGTGCGGGAAGCCGCACGGGAATGCAGCTCTCCTGCCAGTGTGAACGGGCACTTAATGCAGCTAAACTGAATGCACCTAAATTCAGGCAAATATGCAGTATGAATTTTACCATTAAAAATCATTATATATGTTTAGAAATGTTGTTTAAAAGTGGGTTTGCCAATGCTAGTGTGAATGAGGCCATTATTATTATTATACAGTATTTATATAGCGCCAAAAAGGTTTGCTCAGTGCTGTACATTATAGTGGGGGACAACATGAGACAATACAGCAACAAACAATACACGAGGGGTTCAAGGGCCCTGTTCTTTCGAGCTTACAATCTAGGAGGGAAAGAATAGTGGCACAGGAGGAAGTGGCTGTGGGGGATGGAGTGGTAGGAGGAGTGGAGGAGATCGGCAGTTAGGTGAGGGTGGGGTAGGCTTCCCTGAAGAGATGGGTTTTCAGGGTGCGCCTAAAGGTGAGGAGGGTAGGTGACAGTCTGTTGGATTGGGGTAGTGAGTTCCAGAGGATGGGGGAAGTCCTGGAGAAGTCTTTCAGTCGGGCATGGGAGGTGGAAACCAGGGAGCTAGAAAGTAGGAGGTCTTGTGAGGAGCGAAGATTACAGGTTGGGTGGTATTTGGTATTATTGATCTACTATCATTGTTTAATAATGACTATTGAGTAACTACAACAAAAACTTTTTTCATTTTTTTGGGGATACAGACAGAAATAAAATTCTGACAAACGTTATAACTTTTCTTGACAAAAAAAAGAAATAATTGTGATTTTATTGTTGAATGTACCCCCAATTAAAGAATTTTTCCCTTGGGCCCCTTTCAAACAGGTAGTGATCTGGATCTGCAGATGAATTGGCTCAGAATAGTATGTAACATCTATGTCCGTTCCAATTTTTATATCCATAGAAAAAAACAGACCAACATAAACCTTATAGATGTACGGTAAGTGGACTTGTGTCACCTAATATCCACTCACGTCCACTCTGGTCAGTAAAAGAAGACCTGGGCCATCAAGCATATTTTTTCCATTTGTTATGCCTAACCTGAATGGACTCAATGATGGGTGGATATAGATGGACACAAGTCTGCATGCATCTACCCTTAGGAATGTATTGCTGTCCATTTTGTCCTTGTAGTCATGAGTCAAAAAATAACTACAAATGTCATGGGAGGTACAAAATCAAGAACACAAGCTTTTAAATATATAGGCCCTTTAAAAAATATATAGTTGGGTCTAACTAAATCTAAATTTTGCTAAAATAATTGCGAGCAGGGTACTGTTTATTGCAAAAGAGACCTGCATTGTCTCTTCTGCAATAATACATACCTACATATATGAGCAGCTCAGCTTGCATTCCCGCCACATGTCAGCTGTGCCGGAATGACAGACTCTCATAAGTATGATGCCATCCCCTGCAAGTCAATCAAGAAGCCAAAAACCTGGCACCTGTAAGTAGCTCAGGGAAAAGATGACAGTGGCCAGGGAGGGGTGTAAGAGTTACATAGTGTGAAGGTGGGGGTCAGTGTTTTGCAGAATTTAGTTCCACTTTGGGTGAATTGTCAAGTTACTAATATGTGATTAACTGCTCTAGAGCAATTTTTTCATTTTTTTGCACACATGCAAAAATCTGCATTTTTGTTTCTGTAAGTGACCACCTTAGATTATTAACCAAAAGTCACTATATCGCGCCTGATGCAGATAATTATTATCTTCTAAATACAATATTATAAATATTGCTGCCACTCTCCCTCAAAAATCAAAAAATGATATAGTATCACCCCTAATCCAGTGAATACAAGTGGCGCATACATTTCATAATGCTATCATTAAACATCAATTAACATTCATATAATGTGTCATTCTTTGTCCTCACTATTATTGCAGAAATAGCCTTTTTTAAAGCATAATCAAGAGGATGTCCATTAATTAGACCAGGAGGTTCCTCCAAGAATCACCCTTCTAAGATTGGTTGCCAGGATCATTGAAAAACTCCACTCCACCATATCATGGAAAGAGAAGAAAAATATCTGATCCAATAGTATGTTACCCAAGATAAATTACTTTATTGCTCCAAGTAATGCACTTACAACATTAAAAACATCAACAAGCCCAAATTACAATCCTAGTGTCACGCAGATACCGCATGGTGCTCTTACCAGCTCCAGAACTGTCGGACAGAACGCCATCACATCACTTCCGCTTAAGGATCTACATCACTACCGGTCTGCCGCACTGTCATATCTTGACGCGTTTTGTCATATCCTGACTTACTCATAGGGTGTTTGTAATACATCCTATTGTACACTACTCAAAAAAAATTAAAGGAATGCTTTTTAATCAGAGTGTAGCATCAAGTCGGTTAAACTCCTGGGATATTGATCTGGTCAGTTAAGTAGCAAAGAGGGTTATTAATCAGTTTCAGCTGCGTTGGTGTTAATGAAATTAACAACAGATGCACTAGATGGGAAACAATGAGACGACCCCCAAAACAGGAATGGTTTTACAGGTGGAGGTGGACATTTTTTTCCATGCCCATCATTTCTCACTGTTTTTCACTGATTTTGCATTTGGCTAGGGTCAGTGTCACTAGCATGAGGCGATACCTGGACCTTACAGAGGTTGCACAGGCAGTCCAACTCCTCTGGGATGGCACATCAATACGTGCCATTTCCAGAAGGTTTGCTGTGTTTCCCAGCACAGTCTCAAGAGCATGGAGGAGTTTCCAGGAGACAGGCAGTTACTTTAGGGGAGCTGGACAGGGCCGTAGAAGGGTCTTTAACCCATCAGCAGGTCTGATATCTGCTCCTTTGTGCAAGGAGGAACAGGATGAGCATTGCCAGAGCCCTACAAAATGACCTCCAGCAGGCCACTGGTGTGAATGTCTTTGACCAAACAATCAGAAACAGACTTCATGAGGGTGTCCTGAGGAACTGACATCCTCTAGTAGGCCCTGTGCTCACTACCCAGCACCATAGAGCTCGATTGGCATTTGCCATTGAACACCAGAATTGACAG